AAAGTATGAAAAAATCCATTATTAGTGTAGTATATTATTATATCCCATGTAATTAGTATATTAGTATATTGCTATTAACCTGCTTTGCGCTGAATTTTCATTGATGTTAAGCCTAACAAAATTTTTTAAAATAATAATCGTCGCTATTGTATCGTTAAAAATTAGAAAATTAAGCCTTTGGCTCCCTTTCATGGTCGAATGAGTGTTGCCAGCTAAAACACGTAAAAATAATATTAAAGTAGCCAAGTCATAGCCAAATATTGTAGCGCCACATCACTAGCGGACATTTGAAATTTGCCGACTAGAACGGTCGGTTAACCTAGGTGATGGTTAATCAGGGGGTCGGATAATCAAGGCTCTACTGTATTCTGGAAGAAAAGAATCGGCCTGAAGCGAGACTTGAACCAGCAACTCTTATTTGCTGTGTGGATGCATTGCCAGTTATGCTATCCAAGTTTCCAGTCTGATCTCCTCTTCCAGACATATTTAAACATGATATAACTGGCAATGCATTCACACAGTAAGTGGGAGTTGCAGGTACGAATCTTGCTCTGGGTGGAATTTTTCTTCCAGAATATTCTAAATTATTTAATAAATATTAATTTAATTATAACTATTAAATTTAATAAGAGATTGCATTTAACACCTCTCTCTAGTGACAAATTATTTAGTAATTAATTACATATTATTACAGAAAAGTAGTCCAATATAATCCAGTGATTGTTTGGCTTAACAAATTTATCAGGTTTTATGATGTTTGTTTACAAATCATATTATTTGATTATTTATAATGTGATTAATTAGAGCAGTGTTTCTCAAAGTTTTTGTGCCCCCCTTTTGCATTTAAAAATTTCAAAGGACCCCGTGAAGAATGGGTATATGTAGAAAAACATCCCAAAGGGGGATTAATTTAAATTCAGGAGTTAATTTCTTTTGTTTAATTGCATTGAAACACTCATAATTTTAATAGCAGATTTATTTTTAGTATCATTAAAAATTAATAACTTATCTTTGGTACATCTTTGAACAAAATATTCTATGTATATGTTTCGACATTAGTAAACTCAATTAGTTAAGTTAAACATATTTTAAATTAAATTTAATGTGATGGGTGAGCCTGCTTATTTTGGCACAATAAATTAAACCTGGGTTTAATATCAGCCAGTGCAGGTCTCATAGCGATTTCTATGTTGCAAAGACGAGAGTGCTGCTTTGTTTTGATGTTGGTCATTACTGAAAATGTTATTTCACATAAATAAGTGGTTGCAAATGGTAACAGAACTGCCATTGCTAATTCAGAGAGTAGTGAATACTTTGCTTTCACACTAACATGTAAGCCAAAAAGAATCTACTATTTCTAAACATGAATCCATAGTAAATTTATAAAATATTTGAAAAAAATTGATCTGTCATCAATTTTTCTGCGACCCCCCCAAATATTTTTCAGACCCCCACTTTGAGAATCACTGAATTAGAGGTTAAATATATTCTGGTCTGTTGGTTAGGCTAATAGTTTTTAAAATAAAATCAAGAAAAAAAATACAGTGGTGCCTCGTATAACGTACGCCTAGAATAACGGATGCTGCGAACATCGGACTTTCTGTTTGGCTGTTATGTGACTCGAGCAACGGACTTGCTGCAAACAATGGACTTTCCGTTCGGCAGTTACGTGAGGCGAACAACGGAGTTTCTGCAAACAAGTGTGAATGATGTTTCCACTCTTTTGCCGTTGCCAATGACAATCTGCTATTTTTATAATATACTAGCTGCAAGGACCCGCTTCACTGGGTTTTTATTTGTGGGCAAAAAGTAATGATAGTGAAGATTAAGATAATTACATTATAGCCAATCTTACCTGTTTTCACAGAATGCAAGAATTAGGTCCCCCCGTTTCCAGACTAATTAGAGAATTTTTACGTCCATTCAAACAAACTATTTTCAATTTGATCAATTTTCTGGAACGTTTACAATCGTTCTATAATCGAACCAATATTTGAATTTTATGTTCGAATTAAATTCGAACAAATTCCAACATTGTTCGAATTAAATTTTAACAAATTCAAACATTGTTCGAATTAAATTTTAACAAATTCGAACAAAACATTCGAAATAGAAAGCCACTTTCAACCACTTTCAGCCTCATATCTCCCACACCCTTAAGCCCTGGTCACACTATGCGATTTCCAGCCGCGCAGGCGACTGCAACCGCGACGGCTGTTCCCGTTAACTAGTAATCCCCCCTCGAAAACCGGCGCGACTGCAATCGCAACTAGAAACAAAAAGTTTGTTCTACTCGCGACGATTGCAAACGCGCATCCAATCAACAAACGCCTTTATGCCACGTCATACAGTGACAACATTGAAAATAGTTCATCATCATGGCGGATAGTCAGAGGATTAATACTTTTACAGAATCGAGATTGATCGAGCTTATTCAGGCTCACGAATACCTGTGGGATTTTAATTCTTCGTTTTATCGAAGATTTT